TGACGGAGGAGGGCGTCCGCTTCCGCTCGCCCTACGACGGCCAAGAGATGCTGTTGAGCCCGGAGAGGTCCGTGCAGATCCAGAACGCCCTGGGTAAGAGAACCCTGGGGCAGAGTCGCCTTCACCCTTCCTGCAGCCTCGGCCTCATTCACCCAACTAAAATAATGATAAGGAATAGACCCTGTGTTGGGAATGCCTATTACTGTGGTTTGCCGATGTCCTGGGCTAGACCCAGCGCAGCGAACAGAACAGAACAAAACAAACACGTAAAAAAAAAAAATGCATGTTACGGCCGCTTAGCGGGAAGATTGTTGCGGGTTCCAGGTCTGCTTGGGCTAGCCAGTAAGAACCTGTTTTCTTCTGACTCTTTTTTATTTATTATGTATACAACATTCTTCTTCCATGTATATCTGCACACCAGAAGAGGGCACCAGATCTCATTACGGATGGTTGTGAGACACCACGTGGTTGCTGGGAATTGAACTCAGGACCTCTAGAAGAGCAGCTGGTGCTCTTAACCTCTGAGCCATCTCCCCAGCCCCCCTTCTCTGACTCTTGATACCGGTAGTATAAACACAGTGCTACTAGATATGTAGTTGTTCTTTTTTTATTTGTTTTTGTTTTATATTTATGTATGTTGTTATTACTTTATTTGTTTTGAACAGGGTTTCGCTATGTAGCCTTGATTGGCCTGGAATTTGCTATGTAGATTGGTAGACCAGGCTGGCCTCAAATGCACAGAGCTCTGCCTGTTTCTGCCTCTGGAGTGCTGCGATCAAAGACAGATGCCAGCACACCCAGCTGTTACTGTTCTTAGTAACAAACTGAATTTAATGAAATAATGGTGGCAACAGCATGAGATAGGGATGCTTTAGCCCCCCCCCCTTTTCCCCCTATCTGGATAATTTATTTATTTATTTTTATCTTATTTTTTGAGACAGAGTCCTACATAGTCTTGACTAGCCTGGAACTCACTCTTAACCTCTTTAACTGAGGTTGACTTTGAATTCTCAGTCTTCCTCCCTCCATATCCAGAGTGGTGGGATTACAGCCAAATGGCATCATACCCAGTTATAATAAGCTGGAGATCAGACCCAGGGCTCTTTGCACACTTCATAAGCACTGTACTTACTGAGTTGCATCTACAGCCCAGGACAACTTATAATATTGTATGGATTTCAAATGATGCTGGAGCCTTGGCACATGAGCTCCAATTCCTCCCCCTTCTCCACGTACAAGTAGTAAGTTCTGTCAGGGGTTTGTGTGTGGTTCTCAGGTGGAAGCCAGGGCCTCTCAGGTGCTGGGCATGGTCTCTGTCCCAGAGCCTTCTTATGGAAACTGTCTGTTATGCTAAGTGGAGCCAGAGCAGCTACGTGATGATGTTTCCTTCGGTCCTTGTATCTTCTGATCTCAGGATAAGGCTGTTCTGGTATGGTGTGCTTTCTATTGCTGTAGTAACACCATGACCAAAAGCAACTTGGGGAGGAAAGGGTTTAATTTCATCGTACAGGTTTTAGTCCATCACTGGGGGATTCTAGGCAGGGGCTCTACCACTGAGCCATAGCCCTAGTTCTTGGTTTTAGACACAGGGTCTCCCTATGCTGTACTGCCTGCACTGAGGCTCAGGATCCTCTTGCTTCCTGCTGGGAGTATAGGCGTGCTCAACCATACATGGCTCTGCCTTGTTTTTGTTTTTGGAGAAAGAATGTAGCTTTGTTGCTCAGCCCTGGACATGACTTGTTCCCTCTAGATCTGGTATTGATGAAAGCCACCCATCCATCTGTTTGTGTGGTTTTTTTTTTTCCCCCCTGTGGCTGTGATGAGAGTCTGACCAGAGTAAGTTGAGGAGTAAAGGGTTCTTTTTGAGTGGGCATATACTTCCAGGTCACAGTTGATCATTAGCTGTTTTACTTCAAGATTAATTATTATTAAATTTTCAAGATTGAGTTTCTTTGTATAACAGTCCTGGCTGTCCTGGAACTTGCCTTGTAGACCAGGCTGACCTCGAACTCAGATCCACCTGCCTTTGTCTCCTGAGTGCTGGTGTTAAAGGAGTATGCCATCATGCTCAGCTTATTTTTATCATTTTAGATTATGCATTTGTGTGTACGTGTAAGTGCAGGTGCCTGAGGTAGTAGATTTTCCAGACCTGAAGTTATAGACAACACTGATTTTTCTGGGTTCTGGGAATCAAGCTTGGGTCTTCGGGAAGAACACTGGGTGCTCTTAAGCACAAAGTCGCCTCCTCAGCCCAGAGCTAGCTTTTTCATATAGCCCAGCATCACTTGCCTATAGGTGGTGTGGCTCACAGAGACTGGGTCCTCCCATATCAGTCATTCATCAGGACAGTCCCACAGATTCGACCGTAAGCCAATCTTACCTACAAACATTTTTTTTGTTTGTTTGTTTTTGTTTTTTTTTTTAGACAGGGTTTCTCTGTGGCTTTAGAGGCTGTCCTGGAACTTGCTCTTGTAGACCAGGATGGTCTCGAACTCACAGAGATCCGCCTGCCTCTGCCTCCCGAGTGCTGGGATTATAGGTGCGCGCCACCAACGCCTGGTTCCTACAAACATTTTTAATTCTGGCTTTTCTCTCAGATGACTATGGGCTGGATAGTCTTATCTGTCTAGTTGTCCATTAGTCCTTGCATCTATTTTGTCTATCTATTTATCTAAATCTGTCTCTATCTAAGCTGGGGGTGTGACCCAGCTCCTTATACATACCAAGCCAGGACTCTGCTTTTGAGACATATCCTCAGACCTCCAAACCTTTTTTTTTTTCCTAGACAGGATTTCTCTGTGTAGCCTTGGCTGTCCTGGAACTCTCTGTGTAGACCAGGCTGGCTTAGAACTCACATAGATCCGCCTGTCTCTGCCTCCCAAGTGCTGAAACTAAAGGTGTGCGCCAGTACCACCTTGTGCCTACAAACCTTTTATTTGGTAAGTCTTTGGGTGTCAGAATTCTCAGAAGGAAGCATTATGCTAAAGGTGGCTCTGGTTTATCTGTATCTTGGTGTGTGCTCTTGTGCCGCAGAGCAAGCATGGGAGACAGAGGGTTCTAGTCCTTGCGTCCATCTTGTCTGAGACAGGGTTTCATGGTCCAGGCTGTCATCAAACTCTATGTAGCCAAGAATGACATTAAATTCTATTTTTCTCAAAATACATATTTATCTATCTATTTATTAATTTATTTATTTTAGAGACAGGGTTTCTCTGTGTCTTTGGAGCCTATCCTGGAACTAGCTCTTATAGACCAGGCTAGTCTCGAACTCACAGAGATACCCCTGCCTCTGCCTCCCAAGTGCTGGGATTTAAGGTGTGTGCCACCAACACCCGGTTTTTTTTTTTCTTTCTCTCTTTCTTTCTTTTTTATTTGAGACAGGGTCTCACTGTATAGCCTTGGCTGCCCTAGATCTTGCTATGTAGACTAGGTTGTTCTTGAACTCACAGACATCCTCCCACTTGTTTTGGGAATAAATGTATATGCCAACCATGTCTACCTGTTTTATTTATCTTATGTAACATAGGTGTTTTGCCTGCATACGAGTCTGTGTACTATAGCCACCAAGGCTAGAAGAGGACATTGGATTCCCCAAAACTGGTTGTGAGCTGCCATGCAGGTTCTGGGAACTAAACTGGGTTTTCTGGAAGAGTAGTCAACACTCTTTTTTTGTTTGTTTGTTTGTTTTTCAAGACAGGGTTTCTCTGTAGCTTTTGGATGCTGCCTGGAACCACTCTGTAGACCAGGCTGGCCTTGAACTCACAGAGATCTTCCTGCCTCTGCCTCCCAAGTGCTGGGATTAAAAGCGGGCTCTACCACCACCTGGCTTGCAGTCAGTACTCTTAACCATAGAGCCAACTCTCTAGTCTCTAGCCTCAAACTCCTGGTTCCTCTGCATCTACTTTCTGAATTCTGGGATCACAGGCCTGAACTCCACACCCACTTTATGCAGTGCTGGGAATAGAACCTGTGGCCTTGTGTATGCTAGATAATCGCTATACCCTTGGATCTATAGCCACAGATTCTGGAGCATAATTGTAATAGTTACCTGTAAAGCTGGGCACAGTAGAGGTAGAGGCAAGGGGTCTGGGACATCCTGGGATCCATGATGATAATTTGCAGGAATCAGGGTCCTCCCTCTACCATGAGGATCCTGTGGGTTGAACTTGGGTAGTCAGACCTGGAGGAAAGCATGTTTATCTATGGAGCCATCTCACTGGCCTATGGGGTTATATGTACAAATGAAAACAAAAATTTTCTCAGCTTCTGTGCAGCCATATTAGGATGATGACAAGAAGGTGGTGGTACCTGCAAAGGTCATCTGTGTCTTCCTGTCCCTTACCAGAGTGCCCTCTCACCCTCAGGCTCTGACATCATCATGCAGTTGGATGACGTGGTGAGCAGCACAGTGACAGGCCCCCGAGTGGAGGAGGCCATGCACAGGTCTGTGTGTGTGTGTGGGTTGTGTGTGCACAGGAGAAGGGTTTGGGCCCTGTGGTTCCCTTCTGTCTCCCTAGCCACTAGAGGTTCTGTGATCCGACCCTTGTGCAGGTCAGTCCGCTGGCTAGACAGGTGCATTGCAGCCCATCAGCGTCAGGACAAGCAGAACCTCTTTGCCATCATCCAGGGTGGACTGAATGCCGATCTGCGGACCACTTGCCTGAAAGGTAGAGTCAGGAACTGGAGGAGGTGGGGCTGGTCCAGGCAAAGAATGATGCTTTGGCTAGCTGTTAACTGGCAAAGGATGCGACGAGTGCAAGATGCATGAGTCAGAGGCCCTAAAGCAGGGTGCAGTGGGCAGGTCTAGAAACTGGAAGTAATGGAGGCAAATACTGGTCTCAAGGTGAGTCTTTTTTTCTAATTTGTTTATCACCTTTGCCTGCTAAGCCATCTTGTTGGCTCTTTTCACATACTTTGTTGAAATATTATGTTGCCTTCTGACAGGCCTTCATGTAGCCCAGGCTGGCCAGGACCGCACCTTGTAGCAGAGGATGGTCTTGTACTTATCCTTCTGCCTCCTCTTCTGAGTCCTAAAGTCACTGGCATGCATCACCAAACAGATGATGTGCTGGTGATGGGACCAAGTGCCTCACTCGCCCCACTGGGCAACCATTCTACAGCTGAGCTACACCCTTGCCCACAATGGTTTACTACATCTAAACTGCTGAGGTTTTAAAGCCGAAACCATGACCGACACCCCTCTTTCTTCCTTCTATTTCTAGTCTTTGTTTCTTACACTTCTTAAAATTAATTATTTAATTTTTGAGACAGGGTCTCTCACGTAACAGCCCTGGCTTCTCTGGGATTAAAGGCATGTGCTACCATGCTTGGCAAGTTATTTTTATTTTATGTGTATGAATATTTTCCTGCGTGTATGTTTACCACATGTATGCAGGGCCCAAGAAGGCCAGAAGAGGGTGTTTGATCATCTGGAACTGGAATTACAGATGGCTGTGTGCCATGTGGGTACTGCAGTCTGAACCTGGTACCCCTGAGAGAACAGCCAGTACTCTTAACCTCTGGGCCACCATCTCACTACCCTTCCTTCTGCATGTAACTCATGCTGTTCTGGGAGTCACTGTGTAGCCCAGGCTGATGACAATCTCTTGATCCTCAAGCCTAAGTCTCCTGAGGGTTTGGGATTCCAGGGTGTATCCAGATGGTTTTATGATTATGGAATGCTGTACCAAGGGAAATAACCGCCTTGAGACTAGAAAAGTCAAAACCCTAAGTCCTCCTAAGCTGGGGATGTCTGTTCTTTCAGAGATGACCAAGAGGGATGTGCCAGGCTTTGCCATCGGAGGTCTGAGTGGGGGAGAGAGCAAGGAACAGTTCTGGAAGATGGTGGCGTTAAGCACCTCCATGCTGCCTAAGGACAAGCCCAGATACCTGATGGGGGTTGGGTATGTCATTGTGGAGGAGACAGCCCTGAGCCATGCTGTGGGGAACAGATCCTGGGATTCCCATGCCCTTAGGGGGGATCCTTTTGGGAAGAAGGGTATAGCGTTACTGGGGAGCTTTAGGCTACTACCTGATGTAAACAATGTTCTGGGGTATCCTCAGCTATGTAGGGAGTAAGAGGCCAGTCTGGGCTACGTAAACCACAGTCTCAGTACAAAAATAGATAAAGGAGAACACTTATCATTTGAGATCCAGTTGGGGCAGAGGGAGGCCTGGGAAACCCTCTGTTGAGGCTGACTGTGTGCTCCTCACTCTCCCACGGCTGCAACCCAGCTATGCCACTGACATGGTAGTCTGCGTGGCTCTTGGATGTGACATGTTCGACTGTGTATACCCCACACGGACAGCGGTGAGGCCCGGGCAGGGGACTGGAGGGGCTGGGAGCCCATGCCCCTCATGATCTTGACCTTCATGTCCCCAGCGCTTTGGCTCTGCTCTTGTGCCCACTGGGAACCTGCAGTTGAAGAAGAAGCAGTATGCCAAGGATTTCAGTCCCATAAACTCTGAGTGTCCCTGTCCCACCTGCCAAAAGTAGGTCTTAGAAGCTGGGGATTGGAGAGGAGAGGGGCCTCAGGCTATGTATAGCCACTAACTATGTGATTGCAGGCACAGCCGCGCCTTCCTGCATGCCCTACTGCACAGTGACAACACCGCGGCACTGCACCATCTCACTGTGCACAACATTGCCTATCAGGTGGCCTGGGCATGGTGTAGGGTGGTGTCTCAGGGCCCTGGGGTTGGCAGAGAAGGGAAGGGTCTTGGCTCTGAGGTCAGAGTAGGTTGAGGCTTTGATAGGAGCCTCACATGGCTCCTTTTATTTGAGGGTGTGATATGGGGGCTCCTCCTTTGCGGGTATAATGAGTCTGGGCCCTAAGGGCCTTGTGGGCGTGTCTGATCTAGGGGTGTGGCATGGGCAGGACCCTTGAGCGTGGCCTGTCTCCCTTTGCCTTGGGTTTGTGATGTGGGGTGACTCTTGGCACACCTGGTGCCTTGTGGGTGCTCCTGGGACTACTGGTGGCCTATGCCCAAGCTGATGCTGCTGCCTCCTCCCTCCCCCGCAGCTGCAGCTCCTGAGCAACCTTCGAAGCAGCATCTTGGAGCAGCGCTTTCCTGACTTTGTGCGGAACTTCATGCGCACCATGTATGGTGACCACAGCCTTTGTCCTGCCTGGGCCGTTGAAGCACTGGCCTCCGTGGGAATCACACTCACATGACCTGGTTGCCTGGGAGGGACACTGGGGTATGGGGGAATACTGAAGGATTCTTCTTTTTAAAAATTTTTGTTACTGATTTTTGTTTTCATCTGATATCTGGTGTCTTCTTGGGGAGGTGGCCTGTCTGTCTTTTTCCTGGCCCCAAGCTTCACTGTAGGTGGATGTCTTGCTTCTCAGTAGAAGTAACATAGGGAGTAGAGGTGGGCCCAGGATTGTGTATATGTGGGGAGGCTTAGTTTGATCCCATGACAGAAAGAAAGGCAGATCCAGGAAAGGTCAGGGAGGTGGCCCTTGGAACTAGAGTTTAATCTGGTGGCTCTTAGCTGTGATCCTAACTCTAGAGAGGCAGAGTTGGGGGACGGCTGCAAGTTCAAGGCCAATTTGGTTTTCATAGCCAGCCAGGGGTACCCTTTCTCAACAAAACAAAACAAAAGACAAAAGTAACCATATCATCAGTGTAGTAACTAGGAACCACCCGGTACAGTTGAATACAGTAAAAAATGGGGGGCTCTTTTTGGGTTTCAAGATAAGGTTTTGCTGTGTAGCCTTGGCTTTCCTGGAACTCACTCTGTAGATCAGGCTGGCCTCAGATTAACAGGGATCCACCTGTCTCTGCCTCCCAAGTGCTGGAATTAAAGGTATACGCTGCTACTGCCCAGCTAGGGGCTCTGTCTTTTTATTTTATATGCATTGTGTTTTTTGTTTTTGTTTTTGTTTTTTTGGCCTTCGTATATGTCTGTGTGAGGGCATGGGATCCCCTGGAACTAGAATCACAGATAGTTGTGAGCTTCTGTGAGTGCTGGGAACCTGAAAGAGCATTTAGTGCTCTTAACTATTAAGCCATCTCTCCAGCCTTGCTTTCTTTTCTTCTTCTTCTTCTTCTTCTTCTTCTTCTTCTTCTTCTTCTTCTTCTTCTTCTTCCTTCCTTCCTTCCTTCCTTCCTTCCTTCTTCCTTCTTCCTTCCTCCTCCTCCTCTTCCTCCTTCTTCCCCCTCCTCCCCCCAAGACAGGGTTTCTCTGTGTAGCCTTAGCTGCCCTGGAACTTGCTCTGTAAATCAGGCTGGTTTCAAACTCAGAGATCCATCTGCCTCTGCTCCTGGTTTCTGGAATTAAAGGCATATTCCAGTCTGGGGGTCTCTTTGTTGAGGTTAGGACGTGCCAGCTACCCTGGAAGGCATGCCCCATCCCTGATCAGCTACCATTTTACTTTTTTTTTTTTATTCTTCATCTGAGACATCAAGAAAGATAGTTTATTGTACATGAGTTACACTTGGCCAGAAGTGAGAACAGAATGAGTCCAGAATGCTGCAGGTCCCGGGCTGAGGGCCAGCGGCACTGTTTGGGTGTAAGGAAGACAGACAAGTCTTGCAGGTGGTGTTTCTGTGAGCAGATGGTGAGGTTCCAGGTCCATTGAGACTCACGCCGACAGTAGCACACAGTCCAAAAGCTTGCACCAGCCTTCGGCATCCCTTACTTCTGCTCCTCGGCCTCGTTGGGTGGACCAGCTGGTTTACTTGGACCTCTGCCTCATCTTTCTTCTCTTGTGCTTTAGCCTTCACGTGCATTTGCTTCTTCCACTTTGCTCTCGTGGTGCAGGAATCCCAAGGAAGATGGCGCTAAGGCCGAGTTACTTTTATTTGTTACTTTGGTTAGTTTTTTTGACAGAGGTTCTCATGTAGCCCAGGCTGGTCTCAAGCTTGTTATATTCTTGAGGATGACCTTGAATCTCTGTCATCTTCCTGCCTCTTATCTCTGAACTTCTAGGACTGCAAGGTGTGCACTACCTCACCTGGTTCATGTGGTCCTCGGGATAAAACCCAAGGCATCCTGGATAAGCATTGTGCCCACTGAGTCACATCTCCAACCCTTTATATTTTTAAATGGTTTCCATAAATACTATGTAGCCAATTCCTTTTGTGAATAATAAGTGTTTCCAGGCTCTTGTCCTGATAAAGCCTGGGACACCAAGTCCCAACTGTACCCATGCGTCTGGCACCTGGGATTGAGTCATGTCCTTTGAACAATGGCTTGTCAATTGATGCTACCCTGTTCCTGAAAGTGTTTCCCATTGGCTTACACAAATAGAATTTCATTCCTCTGGCCATTAAAGTAAGAGAGTGGGCTTTAATGCTCTGTTATTTTTCTTTTTTTGTAGCTAAGGGTCTACCTCTGTCATCCTCTCTCACAGCTTCCACAGAACTCCTGTACCACTTCCCATCAGCCACTTTCCAGAGAGTCCCCTGATTGGGCCAGCCTCCTCATTGGGCTCCCCCACTCAAGCACATTTGTGCCCATAAGCATCAAATTACTACTGAGTAATAATAGTTTCAGCCAGGCATGGCAGTGCATGGCCATAACCCCTAAATTCAAGGGCCTGGGGCAGGAGGATTGGGAGTTCCAGGCCAGCCTGGGATATATAGTAAGTAAGGGTCAGCCTGAGCTACACAGACTGATTCAAGTAAACAAAACCCCACTAAAAGGAAACAAATGTGGTTGGGACCATGGCATATTAAAAAGAGCTCTGTGTGCTTAATCAATTGGGTGTGATGGCTGGTGCCTGTAATCCCAACACTTCAGAGGCAGGAGAATCTCAATTCAAGGCCATCCTCAGCTGCAAGAGACAACATCGAGTCAAGGCTGTCAAAAGTAAACACTACCATTTGTGGGAACCTGGCTTTGTGAGGCCACAGTCAGATCCAGCCAACTTGCCCCTGGTTTGTATCTGAGAGGGGGAGTGTGAATTGAGAAAGGGCAGATAAAGAGAAAGACAGAGACACAGGATAGAGTCAGGGCAATTCAGTGAATACTGAATGCCCCGAGTTTATTCTTCACCATTCTTAAATACCTTAACCAAAAAGGGGAACATGGTATTCATGTATATGGAACAAACAGACTTTCTTTCTCAATTCTCCAAGGGTTCAATTTCTTGTTATTTGGCCTTCAGGGTTGTAACGAGAGGTTCTTTGTCCCGGCAGGATTCTGCAGCCCTTGAGAGCCTCAAATAAACACACAAGACTTACATTAATTATAAAACTGTTAGCCGGTGGCTTTGGGCTTCTTATTGACTAACTCTGTCTTAATTACTAACCCATTTCTATTAATGTATTTCCACGTGGTCTTGGCTTAGCAGAGAACACCTTGTGTGTCCTCTCTTTCTGGGCTCTACATGATGACTCTGTCTGCCTAGTTTCCCAGAATTCTCATCTTCTAGCCCCGCCTATATTTCCTCCCTGGTCAATCAGCCAATTAGTGTTTTATTCATCAACCAATAAGAGAAACATATCCTGAAGGGCATCCCCATCAGAGGGTCAAGAGTAACCACACCTTATACCAAATCTGTTGTAATTTAGATAATACACTCAAGGCCAAGATCAAACATCCTACTGTAGCCATGCCTTAGACCTTTAGGTCTTATGACTTACTAGGGACAGTTTTGAACTTTGACCTTGAGCCAAGATGAAGCAGAGCTATCTTATGGGCCCTAACAGCCACTCCCCGAAATATGCAGTTCCCAGAATCCTCAGTTATGCCCCCAAAATAATGTGTCCTGCATTCTTAGGAATGGATCACCAAACTTCACTGGGATTAAAAGGTCTAAAATGTAGTAAGTTGAAGAAACAGGGAAACAACTGAAATATTGGCTTCTGCCAATGACAGATTACAGGTGTGTGTCTGTGTGTCAGGCACCTGGAGAAATGGTGGGTCAGATCCACAGGACCCCAGTAAAAACCCAAGTATGTGATGAGCATGTGTAATTCCAGCTCTGGCAGCGTTACCCTGCAGCTACTCCAGCTGAATTCACCAGTTCCAGCCTCAGTGAGAAATCCCATTTCAAAAAACAGGAGACGGAAATGCCTAATGTCAAACTATGACCTCCACATGTACAGGCAGTGCACCACAGGCTGGAAATGTGGCTTTGAGTGCAGTTCTTCACAGTGACTGTAGTCTGGGTCCCAGCAGACATATAGTCAGGTGGCTGACAACTGCTTCTAACTCTAGCTTCAGGAGATCCCATGCCCTCTTCTCATCTCATGTGCACACAATAGCTAACATACATATACAGCATAGGTGGCTCAGCAGTTCAGAGCAGTTGCTGCTCTTGCAGAGGCCCTAGGTTTCAATTCCCAGCACCACCATGGCAGCTTGCAACTGTAACTCCCTCTTCTGGTCTTCTTGGGTTCTGCATGAATGTAGTGAACAAAACATGCAGGAGAAACACCATATACATTAAAGTTTGGGATTGGAGAGATAGTTTCTACCGTTAAATACATTTGTTGCACCGGGCGGTAGTGGCGAATGCCTTTAATCCCAGCATTTGGGAGGCAGAGGCAGGTGGATCTCTGTGAGTTCAACACTATCCTGGTCTCCAGGACAGCCTCCAAAGCCACAGAGAAACCCTGTCTCGAAAAACAAAACAAAACAACACCACAAAAAAGAACACTTTTTGCTCCTGCAGAGGATCTGGGTTTTGTTCCCAGCACCTACACTGTGGTTCACAGCCATGCAGAATTCCAGTCCTAGGGGATCTGACACTTCTGATTTCTGCGGGCACCAGGCACATTATGTGGTGCACATAAAAATAAAATAAATATTTTAAAACGTTTCAATATTTTATGTAAAATTTTAAGATTGATTTATGTAACAATTTTTTATGTACAAGGGTGTTTTGCCTGCATGTAAGCATGTGTATCATATTTGTGTCAGATCCTGTGGAGGCCAGAGGAGGATGTCAGATTCCTGGAACTGGAACTACTGATGGTTGTGAGCTGTCATGCAGGTGCTGGGAACCAAACTCGGGCCCTCTGCAAAGGCAGCAAGCACAAAGCCATCTCTCTAGGAGCAATAGAAAAAAATTTTCTTAAGTAAAAATAAACCTAGGCTTATAGTCACCGGTAAAAGACTTGCTTAGCTTCATGAGGCTATGGACTCATCCCCAGGAACATTCAGGAACATGCGCGGAAGAACGAGTGGATTCAGACACCACACTCACAACCTGCTATGAAACTCATCTTCCACTGGCACTGCACTCTTCCAGAGCTGGCATCTGTGGTGCTTCCTAAGATACAAGTTTTCTCCCAGTGCCTAAAAACGCAGGCGTGATGATCACTGAACCTTTTCTCGAGGTGTGGCGCTTTCCAAGTACTGTGGCCCTCTGCTTAGAAAGAATATCACAAACTGACAACAAAAGCCAGGAAAAGCTGGGAAGAACTGACTGACAGACACTGCTGTCAGTCAGAATCAGGACATAGACGCTAGTAGCCTGTAATTCTAGCAGGAGGGATACTGAGACAGGAGGATCACCTCGAGTTTGCGGCCAACCTATGGTTCAGAAAGAGCAGAAAAAAAAAGGGTTGTGGCTCTCTTCTTTCATTGGTCAGAGGGACGAAGTGATATTTACATCAACCAATGAGAAAATTTTACGGAACTAACTAGTGTCAAGTGACAACCCTGTGTTTAAGGATCGATTCCTTACACCATTGGCAGGCTGACGTTTCCAGAGACCAATAAGACAACCCAGATCAACCTAGTGAGCAGAGGCTTCGCTGTCTTTACCCGAGACCCCGCCTTCCGGGCGTGACACCCCGGTTTCCACTTCTATTGGCTTTCTCATATTAGTGACAGTTCTACTACCCAATGAAGGTGAAAGACTAGTCCTTCCTCGTGCCTTTTCTACTGGCTCCCATTCTTGAGTGGCAGCATTCTTGACCAATTGGCATAGCATTAGGGCTCCTGGCTCCGCCCCGGAGGCCGGGCGGGGAGGTCGCTCGGGTCGGGTGTCGCCTGAGAACCGGATGA